GAATAATAGAAATAGAAATGGATGGGATGGGACGGAACAGAACAGAACAGAACAGAACAGAATAGAATGGAGTTGGAATAAGAATAATAGAAATAGAAATGGATGGGATGGGATGGGATGGGATGGAATAGAACAGAATAGAATAGAATAGAATAGAAAACAGAGTTGGAAGGGACCTTGGAGGTCTTCTATTCCAACCCCTGCTCAGGCAGGAAACCTTCTACCATTTCAGTCAAATGGTTGTCCAATCTCTTCTTGGAAATCTCCAGCATTGGTGCATCCACAACTTCTGGAGTCAAGTTGTTCCACTGATTAATTGTTCGGAAAGTTAAAGCGTTTGGAAGATTTTCGGCTCAGAAACAAAAGGTAGCAAAAAATAAGAGAAAAACCAGATTACTGCAGGTAGTCTTCGACTTACCACTGGCTGCTTAATGACCATTCAAAGCTATGATGGACACCCCCAAAAGTTACTTATGACCCATTTCCGAAGTTATGACAGCCACACACCCATCCCACAGTCACTTGATTGCATCATTTTAGTTCCTTGCTAGCCAGCTCCTTTTATGGTGCTTTGCAGTGTGCCATGGCCGTACGACTACAATTTCCAACTTTTTTTTTTTTTTTTTTGCTGGTTCCTCACATTTACTTCCGTCAAAAACCACCTATTGGGGAAAACTGATTCACTTAATCACAGCATTCACTTAGTGACCGTCGTGTTAGCTCAACGATCACGGCATTTGTTTAACCCCTGTAGTAAGCAACTTGTTCTGACCCAAAGCTTGTTCCAAGGAAACGAACACAAAACAGAGGTAACAGCAAAACCTTTTAATGATTCTTTACAAATTCCTTTCCAACACGATTAAAAGGCTGTTTCAAACTAATTTGTCTCTGATAAGAAGGAACCTTTGTGCAAGGCTGCCAAGAACTAAGAAAAAGTTACTAAGAAATACAGTATTTCAAACACAAAGAGTCTCCAAACACCAACCAAGATATTCTGAATGTCCAACAAGGCTTGAGTGCAAAAACTTCTTTGCTTCCTGCAAAGAACTCTGGTTTCTCAGCTGGCTTTCATCTCCTCAGGGAGGGGCCATTATCTTGCAGCCTTACTCCCGAGTCACCTGTGCTGCTGCAGCTGCTCTTTCCTTTGAGCAGCCCTGCGCGCACACGCACTTGGCACAGGCTCCTCGGGGGCCTCTTCATCACTGCTGCCAGCCTCCACAATCTCCACTCCCTGATGGTCCTGGCCCCATCCCTGCATCACACGTAGGCCCCTCATCTGAGTCCTCGCTCTCCGAGACCTCAGCCATCCGCACCCGCTGCCGGCGAACCACAACACAACCAGTCGTAACTTCGAATCTGCTCACATGATGCCTCAATTTACAGCAACAATGACTTACAGTTGTAACTTCCAGCTCAATTATGGTCGTAAGTCGAGGACTATCTATATTAGGATTGAAGAAAACCCAGCTGTTCCAGCTTTGGGGGCACAAACGTTGTGTTTTTCCGTCTGGCAGCGTGATGTGTGTTTGATTACATTATGTTCCCCAATCTATTAGTCTTGATGCCTTGAATTTATTTTACTGTTCCAACTTTATGACTGCCATAAAGTTGCTTGTTAGAAGGTCGCAAAAGGGGAATCACATGATCCTGGGACACTGCCACCATCATAAATGCGAGCCAGTTGTCAAGAATCCGAATGTAAATCACACAACTGGGGGAATGTTTCGATGGTCATAAGTGTGAAAGATGTCCACAAATCACTTTTTTTTCAGCGCCGTTGTAACTTGGAACGGTCGCTAAATGAACTGTTGTAAGTTGAGGACTATCTGCACACTGCCCCAAGCAGATAACGCCTTATAAGATGGATGGGTGGCGTGTAGGATAGGACAAAGAGGTCAAATGAAGCTGGCTAGCAGCATATTCAAGGCAGAAAGCCTTCTCACAAGAAGTTAACAGATTGGTGGCATTTCCTTCTAACAGTTTCACTTGTAGGACTCGCTAGTGTTTAAATTTCCCCAGGTAAACACACCTTTGTGCTAGTGGCACATCATCACGGATGTCCTGAAAAACCACACAGCAGCTGTTTTCAGGATCTCCGGGGAAAGGTGTGCGTTTGATAAAATGTCATTTCTAGAAGCTTCTCATTCAGACTGGTGCCACCTCTGATGAAGGGGTCTCTCACCCACACCCCTAAAGGCACTCCTTGACTTACAACCACAATTGAGCCCCAGATTATTAGTGAAATATAGAAAAGTAGCTCGATACCCGTGCTTCGCTACGAAACGATGTGGTCAGGTTTAGTTTTTGGGGAGGAAAATAAGGGGGGGGGGGGAATTCAGCCTCTGCCTACCAGCATCCATCAGTATTCATCTGGCTAGTGTCCTGTCAGTGTGTGAGAGAGTTGAGGGCTGCTTGGAAACAGAAACAGTATTTGCTATGTGAGCAAGGAGACAGCAAGGAGCCTGGGTGTGGCTCAGCTCAACTATTCTGTACTAAAGCTGCTGGGTGCTGTGAAACTGAAACTGAAACTCCTCTGATTGTTTTTGCATTTGGAACAGATTTGTTTTCAGGTGGGGAGGGGGAGTAGAACTCCTTAGCATCAGAGCGTGTTAATAATAATAATATAGGAAATATTAATGCTCCGATGGTCATTTTGAAAAATCCTTTCTTAGTGAGCACCTAGAAGCCAAGAGGAACATAGGTGCCAAATTTCAAGTTTGTAGGCTTTACGGTTCTGAAGATTTTGTGATGATGCGTGAGTGGTATTTGCATATATATATAGATATCTATATATCTATATCTATCTATCTATCTATCTATCTATCTATCTATCTATCTATCTATCTATATTGTATATAGATAGATAGATAGAGAGAGAGAGAGAGAGAGAGAGAGAGAGAGAGAGATTGTATATATAGATATGTTAATAGATGGTAAGAGGAATGTTAAAGTAATAGAGATATTATGTATATCAATGATAAGAATAAGATTAGAGAACAAATACCAAAGTAATGAACATGGATGAAAATTTTAACTGTTATTGCACAAGGTATTTGTACCCAGATGACAGACTGTTAAGGTCACAGAGGGTGACCACAAATGGATGCACAGGGACAATGCAATCATCATAAATACACACCTGTTGTCAGGTGCCTGAATTTTGATCAGGTGACCATGGGGATGTTTGCAACAATTGTTAAGTGTGAAAACAGGTCACATTGCTTTTTCCAGTGCTGTTGTAACTTCAAATGGTCTCTAAAGGAATATCTGTAAGTCAAGAACTACTTGTACACCACCAACACACAAATCTGCAAGAAGTGAAAAATATTCAGAAAAACAAAAATTCCCTAAGCAGATCCACTGCAAAAGGACCATCTACAGCAGGGAGCTTTAAGACTTGTGGACTTCAACTCCCAGAATTCCTCCTCCAGCCATGTTAGCTCAGGAATTCTGGGAGTTGAAGTCCCACCCCTCTTCACCTGGCCCAGGTGGAGACACACACACAGCTGTGATGATTTTGCTCCAATTATAAGGCCAGGAATGGCTTTTTGAAGGCTAAATAATCCCAGGTGTGATCCAATGATGGAGGAGGAGGAGTCAATCCGACCACTTGGGTGGGATAGGTAGCATAGGTAGCATAGCACTTCAATAAATGAAAATAAAATTATGTATGTGTATAATATTACATAATATAATTATATGCATGTATGTATGTATGTATATGTATATATGCATATGCATATATTCATTTCATTATACATATATATTTTAACTCCTCTAATGAGATGCTGGAATAAGGAAGAATTTATATGATATGATATATGATATATGATATAATATATAATTAATATAATATAATACAATATGATATATATATATAATAAATGTAATATAATATATAACAAATGTAATGTTATAATATAATTAACATAACATAACATAAGGGAGAGGGAGAGAGAGAGAAAGAGAGAGAGAGAGAGGTATTAGAGGAGGCAATAGAACCTCCATGGCCAGGAGCAGCCTATCTTACTGGGCCCTTTAAATGATATTTCCGGCCCTTATGCACCTCTTCCCACAATCAAAGGGCAAAAATCTGAGAGTGGGACTACAACTCCCAGCAACCACAGCTGGCCCACCCTTTGGGGTCACTGGGTGGGGTGGGGAGATGAAGCCTCCCTTCTCTCTCTCTCTCTCCCCCCCCTCCACTGCATTCCCAATGGCTAGCTGGGAAGAGGAGCGGCGGGAACGATGGGAGTTGTAGTTAGGCCACCCGAAGCGACGTCCGCTGAGAAGCATGGGCTCCGTGGTCCGTCCCCCTTCATCCAAAGCGGATAGGGGGGGTTAGGGGGGGTTACCAAAACAAAAAGGGGGATGGTGGTGGTGTTCCTGATGGGGGACGATGGGTATTGTAGTCCCGCGGGTTACCTTGGCTGTGGCCCGGCCGGTCTTGCTCCGGCTGCGGGGCTTGACCGCCTCCGCCATCCGCCCGGCCGCCGCTTCTCTCTTTCTTCCTTCGGGCTTGTTTGTTTCTGCGGTGCCCGAACAGGCGGAGAGGAGGCGTGGTCAGGGGTCACGTGATCGAAAAGGCGAAGGCCCCTAGACGTAGGAAAGGGAAGAAGCGCCAACCAGCCCGCAGCTTCCGCATTCCAATCAGAGGAGAATGTGAATACTTTCCCCTTGGGCTCCTCCGACTGCGTAACCACGCCCCTCCGGCATAGCCACGCCCACCTCTGAATTCAGCCTGGTTTTTTTTTCTATCAGAGAGCCAGGAAGAAGGGGGAGGGGTGGACTTCAACTCCCAGGATTCCCCAGTCAGAAGAATACTCTGAATTCAGAGCAGAGAATTCTGGGAGCTGAAGGCCACACCTCTTCTGGGCTTCTTGAGATGCCAGAAATATTGCTTAAAACACCCCTAGAAGAGAATGGCATGGAGATGCTCCCCTGTTTTTAAGGTGGCAGCACCTCACAGGCTTCTGCCTATTGGGGCAGCTCAGCAAGTGGGAGGGACTGCTTGGATGGGAGACCATCAGGAAATCCCAGGCCGGGCTGCTCAATCTGAAAACAACCCAGGGGAAGACATGGGAAACTGCTTCCGTTCTTGTTTCTGAGAAAACTCTCTGAATTTGTCCCTGGACATCAATTGAAGGCGAATTGGCTTCTTTTATCTTGGAAGAAATATCCATCTGGGGTTCAGTTCCAAAGTGGGGAGAAAGACAACTAACTGGAAACATGGAGGCTGTTTGGGAAGATAGTTTAATGGTGGACAGGATGACCTGCCTTGGAGCTCTTGGGCAAAGAAGAAAAGGGAAGAGATGCTGAGAGTCCCTGGGTTTTATGCCCTCTTTGGGGCTTTGAACTTTCTGGGGCACAGGAAGAGTATCCTGATCTTCAACACTGTCCAACTACAGCATTTACTAAATCTGCATTACTATTACTATTAAATCTTCTCATCGCTCCTTATCACCCATCCCCTCCCACTTGTGACTGTATGACTGTAACTTTATCGCTTGTATCCTTACGATTTATATTGACTTTTTCCTAGTATGATTTGATTGCTTATTGTACCGTATGACTATTATTAAGTGTGATACCTGATGATTCTTGACTCTTGATGAATGTATCTTTTCTTTTAGGTACACTGAGAGCATTTGCACCAAGACAAATTCCTTGTGTGACCAATCACACTTGGGCAATAAAGAATTCTATTCTATTTCTATTCTATTCTTGGCTGTCAGAGGTCATAGCTAGCTTTTTAGGTTGTCCATGTGCTAAGATTGATTGAAACTTGGTGGGTGATGCAATGAAGGGCAATTGAATGGCTCTGCCTGAAGGAGGTAGAACTTTGTTATGTAGAATAGACTGCCCCAGGCCTTAATGTCCCATTAACAAAGGTCGGGGGGGTGGGGAGAGGCTGAGTTTCTGCCTCTCTGAATTTCAACTTCTCTTTTAGGGGAAATATTCTGCCTTTTTAGTATATCCTAAAATATTTCATTTTTCTAGGAGAGGGGTGGGTTTTAACTTCCAACAGCCCCACCCTGGGTTTTCTGGGAATGGAGGCAATGAAGAACTGTCCCCTTCATAAAGGTATACAAGTGTGAGGAAAGCAACGAGAGAAAAAAAATAAGGTTTGCATTAGTTTTGACATTTTAATTTTATTCTTTGGCGACAATGAAGGCTTGTTGTTTCTCTTTCGGGCATCTTCAGCCTCCATCAATTTTGCAAGCCATCACTTTCTTCTCCCCCAATCACCATCGAGGAAGGGAGTCCTGCAAAGTCATAACATTGCAACGTGGTGGTTGGGGTGAGAAAAGCAAAGCTGTTCTTTTTTTTTTTGCTTTACAAACAAGAGTTGTTAATTTGTATTCGGATTTGGGACCTGCCTATGCAAATACATATACAGATTAACAAGAGTTGGAAGGGACCTTGTAAGTCATCTCCCTGCCCAAACAGACCCAATGTGCAATTTTATAGTCCTCCTACGCTTTGTCTATTTTCTTGAACTATGTAATTCCCAGCCCAATAACACATCTGGAGCAGGGGTGGGATTCAAATTTTTTTAAAAACTGGTTCTGTGGGTGTGACTTAGTTGGTGGGCGTGGCTTGGTGGTCATGTGACTGGCTGGGCATGGCCAACTCAACATCACTCACATCGAGGCACGCATCTCCTCGCCTGGCCTCTCATGACTGTGGGGATGCTGCAACAGTTGTAAGTGTGAAAAATGGTCATAAGTCACTTTTTTCAGTGCCGTTGTAACTTTGAATGGTCCCTCCACACAAGCAAAGTACCAGCAAAGGAGGAGAAAAAACTCCAGAGAAGTTCCTGAGACAGGAAGTCTCGTCCTGCCAAGAATGTAATAAGGATTAACGGAGAGGCAGTTTCTGTAAGCAACACCAGAATGTTTCCTTCCTGCCTTCCTTACAGGATTAGCCCAGTCATTTCTTCTAACAACCGGTTCTCCGAACTGCTTAGAATGTTAACAACCGGTTCTAGTGAATAGGTGCGAACCCCTGATCTGGAGGGAACTAGTTTTACAGGAAACACACACCATTTGAACCCATTGCCTGGAGTCTCCTGTAGAAAGTTAGTATCCACCCTTCTCCTAGAAGAATGAAATATTCTAGGAAATATTAAAAAGGAAGATTATTATTGTTGGAAGAAATATCCTATTTGTATTTATATATAAATAGCCCTGTCTTATTGTTTCTTTTTATATTTTCTTATACGTATCCATGTCATGTATTCATAACTATGTTTATACTTGTACCTGTTATCTTATAATCACTTGACCAATCAATCAATCAATCAATCAATCCATCTGGGTTCAGTTCCAAGTGGGGAAGAAAGATGCTGGGAACATGGTGAGTCCCAGGCTTGGTTGACTCTTTTGCTGGGTGGGGATGTAATGAAAGAACTTTGGGCAATTCCGATTATGGCTGTGCCTGAAGGAGGTAGATCTCATTCTCTGTTTGATTCTAGTTTAATCTGGATTCCATTTCAACTGAGTCAGTGCAATCCATGCCTCACCCAACAACTTTGATTTGAGAGTTGGATTCCTGAAGACCATGAAAGGACCTTCCTCCTGGCAATCCATGGGAGTTGTTTCACCTGCAGTCCTTCGTAGAAAATTAGGCAGCATACGATTGCTCTCCCCAATAGCAATCCTGTCCCTCACATGGGTCATGCCAAAAAATAATGGATTTATTATAGGATCCAATCTTGGTCAGTCCCTGGAACCAGATGCTTTGCCTTCTGAGTTTTCAGGCTTATGCTGGATCCCATCTTTAGAAAACTCTCTAGCTGTGTGTGTGTGTGTGTGTGTGCTGTTCTCTATGTGGTATTTATAGTGCTTGTTGTGTGTGTCTTTTTAGATGTTGATTGCGGTGTATTGATGGCTGGCTTTTAAGTCATTGGTTGTAGTTTGCTTGTGCTGCCCAGCCCTCACCTTCTAAATACTCGATAGGCTGATGGTAAATCAACACTCCAGTTGATTGATTTCCCAGGCTTCAAGTCACTTCCCTGGCTGTTTTTGTGCCTGCTCGTCCGACAATCTTAGTAACAGCAAAATTGAATGTGTGCCCTTGTTCATTGTAGTGTGAGGCTACCAATGAGTTTGGATCTCTTCATCTGACCCATCGCTTATGTTCTTGTAATCTGGTGGGTTAGCTTCCTCCCTGTCTGTCCCACATCGTCACAGGGCATCCAGTAGATTACATTGGAAGTATCTCCCACCTCCAAGCGATCTTTACAATGCATAATTTGTCCTCGTAAGGTAGCCACTTGCAAGCAAATGGACAGCTAATAACTTAAAAGCCAGCCATCAACACACCCTAATCAACATCTTAAAAAAGCACTTACAACAGGCACTATAAATACTACACAGAGAATAGCAGACATTCTGATGTATGGTGTCTGAGGCTGAGCTTAGGTGTTTTTCTTGCAGACACTTCATTACCACTCTTGGTAACACCATCCGTGCTAGTAGGTAGTGAGTTTGCTCTCAGTTTCCATACAATGGTTGGTCTTCATGAAGAAACCACCAAGAATACTCCCACCAATACTGACAGGACAAGCTACTTGTATATAAACTGAGAGTAAACCCCACGCCCTTGTAGCACTGATGATGTTAGATAGTTTGGTAATGAGATGTCTACAAGAAAACAGTGAAGGTGAGAGGAGCACCAAGGATCTCACAGTTCCAACCTGGAAAAAAAACCTATACAAATAGAAACTTTCCTAAATTAACAGAGCCCACCTATGCCCAACAAAGCAGTTGTCACATCAAGGATACAGTTTAATATTAATTGCTTATTTTTTTTCTCCTAGAATTCATCTTCCAAAAATAGAATAGTAATAATAGAAATGGGATAGGATTAAAAGTATGGATGACCAAAAAAATAAAATAAAAGCAGAGAGAAATCCAGTAGCAACCTGATTTGGCTTCCAGAACTTTTCATGAGTGCATAGTATAGCAGCCACATATTTTCTGTCCCGTGTAATCATGAGGACTAGAGACTTGCTTTTAACTAAGAGCAGTTTCACAGGCTGCTGTCTCCGCACCATCAGGATTCAAAGGTCCAGGAGAAGAATTAACCTGAATGTTACTGCAGTTCCCACAGATTGATTCCCGAGTCATTTGCAGACAAATAAGTATTTTAATTATTATTGCTTATTGAATCTTTCTTATTGAATCAGGAAGAGTCCATTTGCTTTAGATTTTACAGGATTAAAACTAAAAAAGGAAGATAATCAGAACTCTAAGTTTTCCCAGGACCCTCTAACTGAATTAAGTAAGATCTAAGAATATCTAATATAATACTAATATCATGGAACTGACTAGTTCCAGCCTCACAACAACCATGTGAGGTAGGTCAGGTTAAAAACTGCAGTGTTTCCCAAGGCACCCAATTTTTAAGGTAACTCACACATATGTGTAAATGTAAAGCCCCTCCTCTTTTAAATAAAAAAAAATTAAAAAAACAGGGGTCCAAGGATGTGGACAAAAAAAGGTAAGATTGTGGCTCTAAGGATGCAGTTGAT